AGCCAGCTGTACCCGCCCCCTCCCCCGTCTGTTCCGCCAGTCAGCGCTGGAGGATCGGAGCGGGGAGAGGGGAATCCAGCCCCTCCCCCTGTCTCGGCAGAGAGCTGTGACAGGATCGAGAGGTGAGCGAACGCCGGTATGTGTTCTCTCACCTCCCGATCTACTGAGCCGACCTGTGACAGTCTCATTGTCACAGGTCGGCTAGAACTATGAGGTGAGTGAAAAGCACTCACCTCATAGTTCTCCTTTAAGGACCCAATCGAACTTATGAGTACATTGACACTTATTTTTTGGCATCGCATTGGCCAGTCATTTTTAGTGGGACCTAAACGAGCGTGTCCATGGACCACACAAGGCAACGCATGTTCCGGCCGGCCTCGTCCCCGCCGCTACAATAGCCTCCGGTTCTCTTCCCTTGATAAATAAAATTTATCAAGGGGAGAGAACCACAGCAAGTGCCGCTCTCAGGGAATCTGCCGCTCCAGGCAAACACCTTGCTTGCCTCGCGGCAGATACGCCCCTGTGCACAGGGGGGTAGGTACATGTATGCACCCCGTATATGTGCTTTCGGTGCCTTTGACAATGAAACAAAGTTGATAACACACATGTGAATCTGACCTCGAGGTCAACTATAGTTGTTTTTTTTACTTTTACGTGTATATGTTATTAATGTGATGTCTTTTTACAACTGTGTTTTGAAGTGCCGTTACTTATATACTGTATGTACATGGGCACAACCAGGGCCATCCCAATAATGTTGCCTCAGGCGTCATCTCTTTGGGTCATATGGGGGCGGCAGGAAGAGTGGCATGGGCGCTCTGCTGCTCAATGTTTGCAGTGTGCCGGCAACCCCCTTCAAGGCCAGAGCATCCCAGGGTGCTGAGAGACAGGTGGGGAGATGTGTAAGGGTCATACACATCTCCCCCACCCAGCTCTTATCAACCTTGGATGCTCTGGCCAGTGTACTGCCCAGCTCTTGGAAACCAGTGACGTCACAACAGTTCAGTGTACAAAAATGCTATTAATACTTTTATGGCCTTCCAAAGCTCTCCCCTTGCAGGATTTTCTTCAATGGCAGCAGCCCTAAAGCTGCGCATGCTCAGTTTTCCTTCCTTTCCGGCACCCTTGCCGTGGTAAGATCCCCTCAGAGCTTTGTTGCGATGGCGTCAAGCTAAAGTCCCGGCATCAGCAATCAACAGTTTGCAGCAAGGCGTGGCTCTGTTTTTCCCCGCACAAACGCGTTATTTTTGGATGATGGCCGTTGTGGGCAGAAGTAAGGACAGAGGAAGAAGGTGCTGGGACAAGTCCACAATGGTGCCAACTTTAGGAGGAACAGGGGAAAGTTTCAGTATCACCCATTTCAAAGACATTTGCGAAAATAATCAATGGGGTTTGAGATTTATTTGCTGCTGGAAAGGAGAGTTGGAAGTTTTTTGTTTTTTTTTAAAAGTGGAAACATGATTTTGGCAACCCCAAATTTTACCCTAGTGATGTATGTGAAGGGGTACTATTCCCACCCTAGACCTGGTCTGCTGAGCTTGGATGTCTAGACCAGCCTTTCTCAACCAGGGTGCCTTCTGGCTTCCTAAGGGGGTGTCTTGAAATTTTCGAACATTGTCACCATGGGGAATTAATTACGCTAATCCAGAGAGGGTGGGACCTATATAAAACAGGATGGTAGTTCGTCTCTGTCCACGTCTGCTCTGCCTTCTGCCCTCGGGGGGAATGATCGGTGGGAATGATCGGGGGGAATGATCGGTGGGAATGACCGGGGGGAATGATCGGTGGGAATGATCGGGGGGAATGATCGG